AACCCCAAAAAGGCGGAATTCCAACAGGGAAAGGGAAATTCCATTGGAAAAATCGGAATTCTGGTGGGAAAAATTGGAATTTCCATGGAAAAACCCCCAAAATTCCCTTGGAAAAATCGAATTTCATCAGGAAAAAATGAAATTTTCCAGGGAATAAACAAAATTCCATTGGAAAAACCGGAATTCCCTTGGGAAAAAAATGGAATTCCCATGGGAAAAATCAAATTCCATTGGAAAAAACAAAATTCCATTGGAAAAATTGGAATTCCAATGGGAAAAAAAACCCAAATTCCAATGGGAATAAGGAAATTCCAGTGGGAAAATCCCAAATCCCAAAAACTCCGAATTCTTTGGAATGAATCCCCGGGGAAAAACTCCCACCAAAAATTCCCAGAAAATTCCCAGAAAATTTCTGGAAAATTCCTAAAATAGTCCCCAAAAAACCCTGGAAAATCTTTCTTATATTCCCAAAAATTCCCAGAAAATTTCCCCCAGAAAACTCCCCATAAATTCCAAAAAAAATTCCCCAAGATCCCTGGAAAATCCTTCCAAAAATCCCCCCAAAAATCCCCAAAAAATTCCTAAAAATTCCTGGAAAATTCAAAAAAAATCCAAAAAAAATCCACTAAAAAATTCCAAAAAGATCTCCAAAAAATCCTGGAAAATTCCCATAAGAATTCCAAAAAAGGCCCAAAAAATCCCAAAAAACTCCCATAAAAAATAAAAAAAATATTCCCCCAAAATAAAAAAAAAAAAATAAATAAAATTCCTCTAAAAATTCTGAAAAATTTTCCCAAAATCCCCAAAAATTTCCCCCAAAAATTCTCAAAATCCTCAAAAAAATTCCCCCCAAATCCCCCAGAAATCCCTAAAAAATCCTGGAACATTCCCAAAAAATCGCCCAAAAACTCAAAAAAAAACCCCCCAAAATAAAAAAAAAAAATCCCAAAAAATTTCTCAAAAAATTCCCAAAAATTTCCAAAAAAATTTCCCCAAAATCCAAAGAAAAATTCCCAAAAATCTCTTAAAAATCCCAAAAAATCCCCCAAAAAATCCAAAAAAATTCCCAAAAAAATCCTTAAAAAATCCAAAAAAATCCCCAAATCCCCCCAAAAAATTCCTAAAAAAATCCTTAAAAAATCAAAAAAAATTTCTCTAAAAATTCCCAAAAATTTCCAAAAAAATTTCCCCAAAATCCCCAAAAAAATCCCCCAAAAAATCCCCAAAAAATCCCCCCAAAAATCCTTAAAAAATCCAAAAAATCCAAAAAAAATCCCCCAAAATTTTTTGAAAAATTCCCAAAAATTCCCCAAAAAATTTCCCCCAAATCCCCCAAAAAATCTCTAAAAAATCCCAAAAAATCCCCAAAAATCCCCCAAAAAATCCCCAAAAAATCCCCAAATCCCAAAAAAATTCCAAAAAAATTCCTTAAAAAATCCAAAAAATCCCCAAAAAATCCAAATAAATTTCTCTAAAAATTCCAAAAAATTTCCAAAAAAAATTTCCCCAAAGTCCCCCAAAAATTCCCAAAAAAATCCTTAAAAAATACAAAAAAATCCCTAAATCCCCCAAAAAATTTCCAAAAAACATCCTTTAAAAATCAAAAAAATCCAAAAAAAATTCCAAAAAATTTCTCTAAAAATTCCCAAAAATTTCCAAAAAAATTTCCCAAAAATCCCCCAAAAAATCCCCAAAAAATCCCCAAAAAAATCCTTAAAAAATCCAAAAAATCCCCAAAAAATCCCCAAAAATTTATCGAAAAATTCCCAAAAATTCCCAAAAAAATTTCCCCAAAATCCCCAAAATAGTCCCAAAAAATCTCTAAAAAATCCCAAAAAATCCCAAAAAATCCCCCCAAAAAATCCCCAAAAAATCCCAAAATCCCAAAAAAATTCCAAAAAAATTCCTTAAAAAATCAAAAAAATCCAAAAAAATCCAAATAAATTTCTCTAAAAATTCCAAAAAATTTCCAAAAAAATTTCCCCAAAATCCCCAAAAATTCCTTAAAAAATACAAAAAAATCCCCAAATCCCCCAAAAAATTCCCCCAAAAAATCCTTAAAAAATCCAAAAAAAATCCCAAAAAATCCCAAAAAATCCCAAAAAATCCCAAAAAATTCCCCAAAAACCCGAATTTCCCGGGAATTTCCCCGCTCTCACCTTGGTGTGGCCGTTTTCCAGGAGATTTTTCAGGATTTGGGATTCCAGGCGGGAATGGAGCAGTTCCGGAGGCGCCGCCTCGGCCACGCGGCCGTAGCAGAGCACGAGGCCGCTCCGGAGCTTTTCCAGCTCCCCCTCGCTCCTTTCCTAGGGAAAAAAAACCGGGAAAAAATTCCAGGAATTCCCGGAATTCCCGAAAAATCGCTGGGAAAAGGAAAAATTCCTGGGGGGGTTTTTATCCAGGGTGGGAATTGAGGGAGAAACGAAAAGGTGGGGGTGGAATTGCGGGAATTTTGGTAGGGATTTCACGGAATTCCAGGAATTCTGAGGAATTTTGGGAGGGTTTCCTTGGAATTCCCAAATTTGAGGAGGAATTCCTTGGAATTCTGAGATTTTAAGCAGGAATTCCTTGGAATTCCCAAGGTTTTTGTAGGAATTTCCCCCAAAATTCCCGGAATTTGCCAGAAAATTCTCCGAAAATTCCCAAATTTGAGAAGGATTTCCTTGGAATTCCAAGATTTTTGGTAGGGATCTCACAGACTTCCCGGAATTCCAAGGAATTTTGGGAGGATTTCCTTGGAATTCCAGGATTTGAGGAGGAATTCCTTGGAATTCCCAGATTTTTAGCAAGAATTTCCTTGGAATTCCAGGATTTTTGGTAAGAATTCCACAGAATTCCAGGATTTGAGAAAGATTTCCTTGGAATTCCAGGATTTTTAGCAGGAATTTCAAGAATTCCAGGAATTCTCAGGAATTTTGGGAGGATTTCCTTGGAATTCCCAAATTTGAGGAGGAATTCCTTGGAATTCTGAGATTTTTAGTAGAAATCTCACAGAATTCCAGGAATTCCAAGGAATTTAGGGAGGATTTCCTTGGAATTCCTGGATTCTTAGCAAGAATTCCTTGGAATTCCCAAATTTTTAGAAGGAATTTCCAAAAAAATTCCCAGAATTTGCCAGAAAATTCTCAGAAAATTCCCAAATTTCCTTGGAATTCCAGGATTTGAGGACGAAAATTCCCAAATTTCCTTGGAATTCCAGGATTTGAGGACGATTTCCTTGGAATTCCCAAGTTTCAGGATGATTTCCTTGGAATTCCAGGATTTTTAGCAGGTATTCCTTGGAATTCCCTAATTTTTAATAGGAATTTCACAGAATTCCATGGAATTCCAAGCAATTTCTTGGAATTTTGAGAGAATTTCCTTGGAATTCCCAGATTTGAGAAGGATTTCCTCAGAATTCCCAAATTTTTCATAGGAATTGCACAAAATTCCAGGATTTTTAGCAGCATTTCCTCAGAATTCCCAAATTTTAACCAGAATTCCCAAATTTTGGTAATAATTTCATGGAATTCCAGGAATTCCTTGGAATTTTGGGAGGATTTCCTTGGAATTCCAGGATTTTTAGCAGGAATTCCTCGGAATTCCCAAACTTTTAGTAGGAATTTCACAGAATTCTGAGATTTTTTTGGGAGGAATTCCTCAGAATTCCCAAATTTTGGCAGGAATTCCTTGGAATTTTGGGAAAATTTCCTTAGAATTCCTGGATTTTTAGCAGGAATTCCTTGGAATTCCCAGATTTTTAGCCAGAATTCCTTGGAATTCCAGGATTTTTTTAGAATTCCTGGATTTTTAGCAGGAATTCCTTGGAATTCCCAGATTTTTAGCCAGAATTCCTTGGAATTCCAGGATTTTTTGGTAGGAATTTCATGAAATTCCAGAATTTTTAACAGGAATCCCTTGGAATTCCAAGATTTTTAACAGGAATTGCACAAAATTCCAGGATTTTTAACAGGAATTGCCCAAAATTCCAGGATTTTTTAACAGGAATTGCCCAAAATTCCAGGATTTTTAACAGGAATTCCTCACAATTCCCAGATTTTAACCAAAATTCCCAAATTTCGCTCCGAATTCCCACACAATCCCCAAATTCCAAACCCAAATTCCCAATCCCCAAATTCCAAACCCAAAATTCCCAATCCCCAAATTCCAACCCAAAATTCCCAATCCCCAAATTCCAAACCCAAATTCCCAATCCCCAAATTCCAAACCCAAAATTCCCAATCCCCAAATTCCAACCCAAAATTCCCAATCCCCAAATTCCTCGGGAATTCCCTCCCCAAACCCCCAATCCCAGGGATACAAAAATTCCCGATTTTCCACCAAAAATTCCCAAAAAAAACCCCAAAAATCCCCAATTTTCCCACCTAAACCCCCTCAAATCCCGATTTTTTTGGGGGATCTCCTTGGAAAAGGCCGGGATTTTTGGGAATTCCGGGAATTCCCACCTTGAAGATGCTGAACAATCCCGGGGATTTCTTGAAAACGTCGGATCGAACGAATTCCTCCAATTTTTCCAGAGTTTCTTCCAGGTGATTCCGGGCGCAAATCCCGAAGCAAAAAGCCAAACCCTGCCAGAATTCCAAAGGAAAAAAAAACCTGGAATGGGAATTCCCAAGTTTTTTCCCGGATTTTTGGGAATTTTGAGGGTGTTGGGATTCCTGGGGCTGTTCCTGGATGGGATTTTGGGAATTTTGGGAAGGAATTCCTGGAGTTTTGATGGGAATTCCATGGAATTCCAAGATTTTAATGGAAATTCCCTCAGAATTCCAGGATTTTAATGGAAATTCCCTTGGAATTCTGGGATTTTAATGGAAATTCTCCTGGAATTCCAAGATTTTAATGGAAATTCCCTTGGAATTCTGGGATTTTAATGGAAATTCCCTTGGAATTCTGGGATTTTAATGGAAATTCTCCTGGAATTCTGGGATTTTAATGGAAATTCCCTTGGAATTCCGGGATTTTAATGGAAATTCTCTTGGAATTCCAAGATTTTAATGGAAATTCCCTTGGAATTCTGGGATTTTAATGGAAATTCCCTTGGAATTCCGGGATTTTAATGGAAATTCCCTTGGAATTCTGGGATTTTAATGGAAATTCCCTCAGAATTCCAGGATTTTAATGGAAATTCCCTTGGAATTCTGGGATTTTAATGGAAATTCCCTTGGAATTCCGGGATTTTAATGGAAATTCCCTTGGAATTCCAAGATTTTAATGGAAATTCCCTTGGAATTCCGGGATTTTAATGGAAATTCCCTTGGAATTCCGGGATTTTAATGGAAATTCCCTTGGAATTCTGGGATTTTAATGGAAATTCCATGGGAATTCTGGGATTTTAATGGAAATTCCATGGGAATTCTGGGATTTTAATGGAAGTTCTCTTGGAATTCTGGGATTTTAATGGAAATTCCCTTGGAATTCTGGGATTTTAATGGAAATTCTCTTGGAATTCCAGGATTTTAGTCAGGATTGCAAGGAATTCCAGGATTTTAGCCAAAATTTCCAAGATTTTAGTCAAGAATTCCATGGAATTCCTGGATTTTAATGGAGATTTCCAAGGAATTCCAAGATTTTAGCAGGAATTCTCTTGGAATTCCAGGATTTTTGTAGGAATTCCTTGGAATTCCAAGGTTTTTCCAGGTTTTCCCAGAATTCCTGAATTTTAGCAGGAATTCCTTGGAATGCCAATATTTTAGCATGGATTCCCTTGGAATTCCAGGATTTTAATTGGGATTTTCCTGGAATTCCAGAGTTTTAATTGAAATTTCCTTGGAATTCCAGGATTTTTGTAGGAATTTCCTTGGAATTCCACAATTTTAGCCAGAATTTCCCCAGAATTCCAGGATTTTATCAGGGATTCCCTTGGAATTCCAGGGTTTTGCCAGGTTTCCCTTGGAATTCCATCATTTTAATAAGAATTCTCTAGGAATTCCTGGATTTTAGGAGGAATTTCCTTGAAATTCCAGGATTTTTATAGGAATTTCTTTGGAATTCCAAGTTTTTTTGCCAGAATTTTCCCAGAATTCCAGGATTTTTATTGGGATTCCCTTGGAATTCCAGGATTTTAACCAGAATTCCGTTCAAATTCCAGGATTTTTTCTGAGATTTCTTGGAATTTCCAGGATTTTAACCAAAAATTTCCTTGGAATTCCCGCATTTTATCCAGGATTTCCTTAAAATTCCAGGATTTTACCCAGAATCCTCCCCTTGGAAAATCCCAACCCCATTCCTGACCCAACATTCCCAAAATTCCCACATTTCCCATAAATTCCAATCCCAATCCCATTTTCCCATTTTTCCATAAATTCCATTAATCCCAATCCCATTTTCCATGGATTCCATGAATTCCATTTTTCCCTGGATCCCAATCCCATTTTTCCATGAATTCCATGAATCCCATTAATCCAAATCCCATTTATCCATAAATTCCATGAATCCCATTGATCCCAATCCTGTTTTTCCATGAGTTCCATGGAAACCAATCCCGTTTTTCCATGATTTCCCTGGATCCCGATCCCGTTTTTCCCTGGATCCCGATCCCGTTTTTCCCTGGATCCCGATCCCTGATTTCCCTGGATCCCGATCCCGTTTTTCCCTGGATCCCAATCCCGTTTTTCCCTGGATCCCAATCCCGTTTTTCCATGAATCCCAATCTCATTTTTCCCTGGATCCTGATCCTGTTTTTCCCTGGATCCCGATCCCGTTTTTCCCTGGATCCCGATCCCGTTTTTCCCTGATTTCCCTGGATCCCGATCCCATTTTTCCCTGGATCCTGATCCCGTTTTTCCCTGGATCCCAATCCCTTTTTTCCATGATTTCCCTGGATCCCAATCCCGTTTTTCCCTGGATCCCAATCCCGTTTTTCCCTGGATCCCGATCCCGTTTTTCCCTGGATCCCAATCCCGTTTTTCCCTGGATCCCAATCCCGTTTTTCCATGAATCCCAATCTCATTTTTCCCTGGATCCTGATCCTGTTTTTCCCTGGATCCCAATCCCGTTTTTCCCGTTTTTCCCTGGATCCCGATCCCGTTTTTCCCTGGATCCCAATCCCATTTTTCCATGGATCCCGATCCCGTTTTTCCCTGGATGCCAATCCCATTTTTCCCTGATTTCCCTGGATCCCAATCCCGTTTTTCCATGATTTCCCTGGATCCCAATCCCGTTTTTCCCTGGATCCCGATCCCTGATTTCCCTGGATCCCAATCCCGTTTTTCCCTGGATCCCAATCCCATTTTTCCATGAATTCCATGAATCCCATTAATCCAAATCCCATTTTTCCATAAATTCCATAAATCCCATGGATCCCAATCCTGTTTTTCCATGAGTTCCATGGATCCCAATCCCATTTTTCCATGAATCCCATGGATCCCAATCCCGTTTTTCCATGATTTCCCTGGATCCCAATCCCATTTTTCCCTGGATCCCGATCCCGTTTTCCCTGGATCCCGATCCCTGATTTCCCTGGATCCCAATCCCGTTTTTCCCTGGATCCCTTTCCATGATTTCCCTGGATCCTGATCCCGTTTTTCCCTGGATCCCAATCCCGTTTTTCCCTGGATCCCTTTCCATGATTTCCCTGGATCCCAATCCCAATCCCGTTTTTCCCGTTTTTCCCTGGATCCCAATCCCATTTTTCCCTGGATCCCGATCCCGTTTTTCCCTGGATCCCAATCCCGTTTTTCCCGTTTTCCCTGGATCCCAATCCCGTTTTTCCCTGGATCCTGATCCCATTTTTCCCGTTTTCCCTGGATCCCGATCCCGTTTTTCCATGATTTCCCTGGATCCCAATCCCGTTTTTCCCTGGATCCCAATCCCGTTTTTCCCTGGATCCCGATCCCATTTTTCCCGTTTTCCCTGGATCCCGATCCCGTTTTTCCGGATTCCTCACCTCCCTCTCCTCCTCCTCCTGGTACCGAGCGTTTTCCAGGATTTCCTGGAGCTGCTTCCGAACCAAATCCTTCCCGGGACACGATCCCAGCGCCGTTCCCAGGGATTTGTACAGGAAAATCTGGGAAGAAAATCCCAAAAAATCCCAAAAAATCCCAAAAAATCCCAAAGATCTCCCAAAATCCCAAAAAATCCCCCCAAAATCCCCCAAAATCCAAAAAAATCCTCCCAAAAAATCCCCAAAATCCCCAAAATCCCAAAAATCATCCTCAAAAAATCCCAAACATCCCAAAAATCATCCTCAAAAAATCCGGAAAAGTTCCCATAAAATCCCAAGAAATCACAAAAACCACAAAAAAATCCACAAAAAATCCTAAAAAAAATCCTAAAAAAATTTTAAAAAAAAATCCCCCAAATACCCAAAAATCCACAAAATCCCCCCAAAATTCCCCCAAAATTCAACCAAAATCCCAATAAAATCCCCCCAAAATCCCAAAAATATTCCCCAAAAAATTCCCCAAAAAAAGCCCAAAAATCACAAAAAAATCACAAAAAAACTCTCAAAAAATCCTAAAAAAATTTTAAAAAAATCCCAGAAAATTCCCCCAAAATCCCCCAAAAAATCTCCAAAAAAATCCTAAAAAAATTTTAAAAAAATCCCCCAAAAATCCCAAAAATCTTCTCGAAAATCCCAAAAATAAAAAAAAAATCCAAAAAAAATCCCCCCAAAATTCCCCCAAAATTCCCCCAAAATCCAAAAAAAAATCCCCCCAAAATCCCAAAAATATTCCCCAAAAAGTTCCCCAAAAAAATCCCAAAAATCCCCCAGAAAATCCTAAATAAATTTTTAAAAAAATTCCCCCCAAAATCCACAAAATCCTCTCAAAAATCCCAAAAATCAAAAAGAAATCCCGAAAAAATCCCAAAAAAATCCCCAAAAAACTTCCCCCAAAATCACCCCAAAATCCCAAAAAAATCCAAAAAAAATCCCAAAAAATTCCCAAAAAAAGCCCAAAAATCCCAAATAAATCCCCCAAAAAATCCTAAAAAATTTTTAAAAAAATCCCCCCAAAAATCCACAAAATCCTCTCAAAAATCCCAAAAATAAAAAAAAAATCCCAAAAAAATCCCCAAAAATCAAAAAAAAATTCCCCAAAAATTCCCCCCAAATCCCAAAAAAATCCCAAAAAATCCAAAAAAATTCCCCAAAAATATTCCCCAAAAAATTCCCAAAAAAAATCCCAAAAATCCCCAAAAAAATCCAAAAAAAATCCTAAAAAATTTTTTTTAAAAATCCCTCCAAAAATGCACAAAATCCTCTCAAAAATCCAAAAAATCAAAAAAAAATCCCCAAAAAATCCCCAAAAAAACCCCAAAAATTCCCCAAAAATTCCCCCCGAATCCCAAAAAAACCCCAAAAAAATCCCCAAAAAATTCCCCAAAAAAAGCCCAAAAATCCCCAAAAAATCCCCCAAAAAATCCTAAAAAAATTTTTTAAAAATCCCCCCAAAAATCCACAAAATCCCCCCAAAATTCCCTCAAAATTCCCCCAAAATCCCAAAAATATTCCCCCAAAAAATCCCAAAAACCCCAAAAAAATCACAAAAAAACACCCAAAAATCCTAAAAAAATTTTTAAAAATCCACCCAAAATTCCCAAGAAATTCCCCCAAAATCCCCAAAAAACCCCAAAAATCCCCAAAAAATCCCAAAAATCCCCAAAAAATCCCAAAAAAATCCCAAAAAATCCCCAAAAAATCCCAAAAATCCCAAAAAATCCACAAAAATCCCAAAAAAATCCCCAAAAAATCCCAAAAATCCCCAAAAAATCCAAAAAAAATCCCAAAAATCCAAAAAAAATCCCAAAAAATCACCAAAAAATCCCAAAAAAATCCCAAAAAATCCCAAAAAAAATCCCAAAAAATCCAAAAAAAATCCCAAAAAAATCCCAAAAATCCAAAAAAAATCCCAAAAAATCCCCCAAAAAATCTCAAAAAATCCCAAAAAAATCCCAAAAAATCCCCCAAAAAATCCCAAAAATCCCAAAAAAATCCCAAAAAATCCCCAAAAAATCCCCAAAAAATCCCAAAAATCCCCAAAAAATCCCAAAAAAATCCCAAAAAATCCAAAAAAAATCCCAAAAATCCAAAAAAAATCCCAAAAAATCCCCAAAAAATCCCAAAAATCCCAAAAAAATCCCAAAAAAATCCCAAAAAATCCCAAAAAAATCCCCAAAAAATCCCCCCAAAATTCGGGAATTCCGACAGGAAAAATCCAGCTGGAAAAATTCCGGGAATTTTTATTTTTTCTTTTTTCCCATCCTCACCTTTTCCGACCTGGAGGCTTCGGAATCGCGGAGCTGCCGGAAAATCTCCGGAGGCAACGGGAAAATCCAGGATTTATCCGGGATGGAGCTCAGGGAACGGCGGAAAAACTGGGAATGGCGGGAATTCCGTTTATCCCGAATTTCCTCGGGAATTCCGAGGCTTTATCCCAAAATTCCTCTGGAATTCCGAGGCTTTATCCCAAAATTCCTCGGGAATTCCGGTTCTGATCCCAAATTTCCCTTTGGAATTCCGGTTCTGATCCCAAATTTCCCTTTGGAATTCCGGTTCTGATCCCAAATTTCCTCTGGAATTCCGGTTCTGATCCCAAATTTCCCTCGGGAATTCCGGTTCTGATCCCAAATTTCCTCTGGAATTCCGGTTCTGATCCCAAATTTCCTCTGGAATTCCGGTTCTGATCCCAAATTTCCCCGGGAATTCCGGTTCTGATCCCAAATTTCCTCTGGAATTCCGGTTCTGATCCCAAATTTCCTCTGGAATTCCCGATTGGATTTTCCCGCCCTTTTCCCAATCCCGGATTTCCTTTTCCGGCCCGAAAATTCCCGGGAAAAATCGGGAATTCCCGGGATCCTCACCTGGAGCAGCTTCTCCTCCCATTCCTGCTGATCCAGGGAATTCTCCGAGTGCTCTGAGGGGGAAAAATCGGGAATTCTGGGAATTCCGAGGGATTTGGGAAATTCCGGTTCTGATCCCAAATTTCCTCTGGAATTCCGGTTCTGATCCCAAATTTCCCTTTGGAATTCCGGTTCTGATCCCAAATTTCCTCTGGAATTCCGGTTCTGATCCCAAATTTCCCTCTGGAATTCCGGTTCTGATCCCAAATTTCCCCTGGAATTCCGGTTCTGATCCCAAATTTCCCCGGGAATTCCGGTTCTGATCCCAAATTTCCTCTGGAATTCCGGTTCTGATCCCAAATTTCCTCTGGAATTCCCGATTGGATTTTCCCGCCCTTTTCCCAATCCCGGATTTCCTTTTCCGGCCCGAAAATTCCCGGGAAAAATCGGGAATTCCCGGGATCCTCACCTGGAGCAGCTTCTCCTCCCATTCCTGCTGATCCAGGGAATTCTCCGAGTGCTCTGAGGGGGAAAAATCGGGAATTCTGGGAATTCCGAGGGATTTGGGAATGTTGGAATGGGAAAAAATCGGGAATGCTGGAGGAGGGAAAGGGGGAGGAGATGGGGAGGGGAAAAGTGGGAAAATGGGAAAAAAAGGGGAAAAAAAGTGGGATAAATTTGGGAATAAAGTGGGAAAAGAGAGGGAAAAAAACAGGAAAAAAAGGGAAAAATTGGGGAAAATTGGGAAAAAAGAAAAGTGGGGAAAAAAGCGGGAAAAAGTGGGAATAAAGTGGGAAAAAAGTGGGATAAAAGCAGGAAAAAAGCAGGAAAAAAGAGGGAAAATGTGGGGGAAAAGTGGGGAAAATTTGGGGAAAAATACAGGGAAAAAGGGGGAAAAATAAAGGGAAAAAAAGTGGGAAGAAAGTGGGAATAAAATGGGAAAAAAGTGGGAAAGAAGCAGGAAAAAGTGGGAAAAATTCAGGGAAAAAAGCGAGAAAAAAAGGGGAAAAAAGTGGGAATAAAATGGGAAAAAAGAGGGAAAAAAGAGGGAATAAAGTGGGAAAAAAGTGGAGGAAAATTGGGGAAAAATTGGGAAAAAAGAGGGAAAAAAGTGGGAAAAAAGAGAAAAAAGTGGGGAAAAAGCAGGAAAATAGAGGGAAAAATGTGGGAAAAAAGTGAGAAAAATACAGGAAAAATCCAGGGAAAAAGGGGGAATAAAATGGGGAAAAAAGTGGGAAAAAACCAGGAAAAAGTGGGAAAAATGTGGGGAATAAAATGGGAAAGAAGTGGGGAAAAAAGAAGGGAAAAAATGGGATAAAAGCGGGGAAACAGAGGGAAATAAAGAGAAAAAAGTGGGAAAAAGTGGGGAAAATACAGGGAAAAAGTGGGAATAAAATGGGGAAAAAGTGGGAAAAATATGGGAAAAAAGTGAGAATAAAATGGGAAGAAAAATGGGAAAAAAGAGGGAATAAATTGGGAAAAAAGTGGGGGAAAATTGGGGGAAAATCGGGAAAAAAGAGAGAAAAAAGTGGGAAAAAAGTGGGGAAAAAGAAAGAAAAGAGAGGGAAAAAAGCAGGAAAATAGAGGGAAAAAGAAGGGAAAAAAGAGGGGAAAAGTGGGAATAAAGTGGGAAAAAAGTGGGAAAAAAGAGGGGAAAAGTGGGAATAAAGTGGGAAAAAAGTGGGAATAAAACGGGGAAAAAAGTGGGAAAAAAGCAGGAAAAAGTGGGAAAAATGTGGGGAAAAAGCGAGAAAAAAAATTGGGGAAAAAAGTGGGAATAAAATGGGAAAAAAAGTGGGAATAAAATGGGAATAAAATGGGAAATAAAGTGGGAAAAAAGCAGGAAAAATAGAGAGAAAAAAGCAGGAAAAAAAGCCGGAAAAAATTGGGAAAAAAGTGGGGAAAAAAGCAGGAAAAAAAAGGGGGAAATGGGGAAAAATTTGGAATGAAGAAAAAAGTAGGAAAAAAAGTGGGAAAAAAGCAGGAAAAAATGGGAAAATATGAGAATAAAGTGGGAGAGAAGTGGGAAAAAAAGAAGGAAAAAAATGGGATAAAAGCGGGAAAAAGAGGGAAAAAAATGGGAAAAATTTGGGGAAAAAAGAGGGAAAAATTCATGAAAGAAAGAGAGGAAAAAAGTGGGAAAAAAATTGGGAAAAAAGCGGGAATAAAGTGGGAAAAAAGTGGGAAAAAAGTGGGAAAAAAGTGGGAAAAAAAGTGGGAAAAAAGTGGGAATAAAGTGGGAAAAAAGTGGAGGAAAATTGGGGAAAAATCGGGAAAAAAGAAAGAAAAATGTGGGGAAAAAGTGGGGAAAAAGAAAGAAAAGAGAGGGAAAAAAGCAGGAAAATAGAGGGAAAAAGAAGGGAAAAAAGAGGGGAAAAGTGGGAATAAAGTGGGAAAAAAGTGGGAATAAAACGGGGAAAAAAGTGGGAAAAAAGCAGGAAAAAGTGGGAAAAATGTGGGGAAAAAGCGAGAAAAAAAATTGGGAATAAAGTGGGAATAAAGTGGGAAAAAAATTGGGATAAAAGCGGGAATAAAGTGGGAAAAAAGTGGGAATAAAGTGGGAAAAAAGCGGGAATAAAGTGGGAAAAAAGAGGAGAAAAAGTGGGAAAAAAGCGGAATCCAGGGGCAGAAGGATTTCCCAAATTTTCTGTCTCATCCCAAAATTCCTCATCCCAAATTTCCCCTCTTATCCTGAAATTTCTCATCCCAAAATTCCTCTCCCATCCCAAATTTCTCCTCCTATCCCAAAATTCCTCATCCCAAAATTCCTCATCCCACATTTCCCCTCCCATCCCAAAATTCCTCATCCCAAATTTCCTCTCCCATCCCAAAATTCCTCATCCCAGATTTTTCCCTCTTATCCCAATTTTTTTGGCTCATCCCGAAATTCCTCATCCCAAATTTCCCCTCCCATCCCAACTTTTTTGTCTTATCCTGGATTTCCCCATCCCAAATTTCTCCTCCCATCCCAAATTTCCTCATCCCGAATTTCCTCTCTTATCCCAGATTTCCTCTCCCATCCCAAATTTCCC